AATCACAGTTTGGCTTTAACAATAAAAATGTCACTTACCAGTGTAAGAGAATCCCCAAGACTCCTTGTCCGATCCCAACAAGCTGCAAAACTGATAAGCAGACTTGTCCAACTGGGCTTTCTTGGTTCCTACACCAACCATCTGTAAAAATAAATAAGTTAAACTAAACCTGTCCTTCCACAACCTATCTTAGGGTATAAATTAAATAGGTTAAAATAGTAAAAATTTTGTTGATGGTATGTGACTGGCGCTGAAATTCATTGAATTGCAAGGGGCTTTCGGTAGAAGAACAGGAGGTGTCCGAAATTAGAAACTCGTGGTACACTGTCTTAACCTCCCCACAGTTGTTATTGATGTAGAATTCATATAAAATTATCTTTCTTAACAAAATGTAGTACAGTAATAGAAATTAAATTCTGATAGGTAGTTAATTAACTAGCCTAATTATTTATATCTTGGCACAGATTCTAGTTTAATTTCATTTTCTTATAATAGGCTATTTACAAACATTATATGCTTGTGACTTTGTCAATTGCACACATGTGTTTAAAGAAAATAAAAATCTTTGACTTTGACTTCATCTTTTCCCTGCGGGTAGGCCTACAGAAGTGTTAAAGCCAACTCACCACATCCGTGCCGTAGAGTGCCGTCAACATCTTGATCTCCCAATAGTAGATGTGGCCTCGCTGAAAGGGAGAATCCCCTCGGATTGCGGCAGTCCCGGAGCTGTATCCCGGATGGAACTGGACTTCCCGGTTGTCATTGCTTAACCGTGTCGTAGCAGTAGCTAGCTGCTGGTCCCAAGCCCATTCATGCACTGAAAAACATCACCGGTTAGGATGTGAGGGAAATATACTTTGTGAAAATAGTGTAGGCGTGAATAAGTGAAGTGGATAAATTATGTTAAAAAGAGTGGGCCTCCTGGAAACAGAGAATTTATTCAATTATTTGAAACTTGGAGTCATGGTTATTTGTATTTTAACAAACAAAAGATTCAAAAGCTTTATTCACCATTCAGTACAAAAAACTTGGACACAGGTTTCTTTTAAAGGAGTAATATTACATAATCAATCACAGACGGCACCTTAAAGTAGTATTTTTTGCACTATTAAGTTTATGATGCTAAGTAACGTTTTGAATTAAAAAATTTATGTAGTTTCCCCCATAAAAACTCCAATAAACACGGAAAATTAAAAAAACTACGTAAGTTAAAATCTTGTTGGTATCTAAACACACATTTCAGGTAGGCCTACCTAAGTAGGGTATTTAAGTTATGTAATTTAAGTAAATTGTTACCGTCAACGTCGATCAGCCTATAGTAGGTCTAGACCGGTACCATAAGTTAGTGTTCAATTTGGATGAATACTTAAATGACCCCTGAGGTAAGTTTGCGTAATTCGTTGGAAAAGTTTTAAGAGGGTCATAAGTAGACGATTTTAATAGAAGTGTGTGAGCTAAAGAAAAACCAGTCATGACCTACATTCTACCGTCGTTGCACGTGTCAGTTTTACTTTTTAAATTTTGTGTTTTAAATTTGTGTTTTGGCCAAATAATGTATAATGTTTCGTGTATGTGTACGTGTTATTTTTTAACTCTGAGCTTTATGACGACGATTTAATGAAATAAATCAATTAATGTAACGTTTGATCTTGATCTGAAGATGTGTTAATTTCTACACTAAACAGCTGTAAGTTAGTTAACCAACTAGAAACTAGGATCACTTATGGACACGTAATTTAAACCTTTTGTTGTAAAAATCTGTGATCCAGAGGCTATAGGCTACCATAATAATAAAGAACGCAAAAGATGTCCCTAGTGTTCTTAAACTATCCAGGACTAAGTTAGCTCTTGGGCTATCCTAAATAAAAATTAAGATTTAGGCTAACATGATCGCTGCGGCCCACCAATGGCAGGTGTAGCCCCAGTGCAGCACAGCGTCGAGTGATCCTGTTTGGCTTTCAAATATTTTTGTTGTTCAAATATTGTTCTGAAGTATAGGCTAGCAAATGACATGCTGCATTGTGACAAGAGTTGACGTAGTTTGCTGATACACTCACAGATAGCAGTGCTCACTGTCTGGAACTAGCCGGAACCATTGTATTGCCAACTGGAGGTATAGAAAGACGAGACCAAGTTTATTTCTATGCTTGCCAGAAGGGGATTTACCTGGGAAATTTTCCAGGAAACAGCTGAATGGTGAACAAAGCAAGTCACACAGTACACGCTAACGTAGTATAGGTCCTCCTTTGACCGACCCCAAGTTATTTTACAATCGTCTTAGCATTGCATGACAAAATCTAAAGTATTGCACTGTATGTGTTTAATAATCAATTTAATTTATAAGCATCGAATAAGTTATTGGGCCTCGATTTAGCCTTTAGAAAATGGATTTTGGTTGTTTGAATAATTAGTGTTAGATCAATACAATAATTCCACAGTTCGATAATCCTATTAAGTTAGAGTCAGATATCAAAGTTCTGCAGGAAAAAATAAGTCAAAGAAAACATCAAAAGGATAACAAATAAGTTAGTAAGAAAAAACAACGTTAAAATTAATTTGAATTTATCAGGCCCTAGGCCTACACATTAGCATTTTTGTATTATGATAACTGAGATATATACGAAAATATAAGCAATGAATGGCACTGAATTGTCATTAGATTTATTTTATAACAATAGTTTCAGCTAATATAGTGGGATAAACAATTTAAACTTTGCTAAATTTAAAATTTACCTTCTATATCTTCTCCACAATCGCAAATCACAGGGCCATTTTTGTATTCATGACAATTGCAGAACGATGCATCAAAAGGACTTGTGTAGTCGGGATCTTGCTTGCAATAGACAATACGCCTGTTTATTAACTCCATATTAGGATGAAATTAGACCACTGAACATAACAAACTGCACTCAAAACAAACTCTTATCGCCGCTTGACAATGTCACAACCGCAAATTATAATAATGGCCGTCTTCACTCCGTCCGACGAGAAACAATTGCGTTGTTTGTTTTTCTGTCAGCTGTCTGTAATTGTAATTTTACTGACTTTCTGCTACCAATTTTAGTTAACGCCGAATAACGCGATATTCGAGAAATTTCGATGACGTAACTGGTCACAGACGAATAAAGAAAACTGGTTTTTGTTAAAAGCCAAGCAGCACTATATAAAATAGCATGTCTCAAGTCTCATAGAGCTGACACTGTCCATGCTATGGGATGTCAACCTTGTGATATATTTCTGTCAAGCTAAAAGAATAAATTATTGATGATTCAAACTTAACACTTTTATGACGCGTTAATCACCGCTGTGTGCAAATAGGAAGAACGCCAAAACACAGGATACACGTAGTTAGGTCCACTAACCATAGTCACCAATGGCAAGGTGAGAACCACAGGGATAGGAGAGAATTAAATAAGCATAGAATTATATTCAGTGGCAGTGGTGGTTCTAAGGAAGGGGGGCTACAGGAGCAAAAGCATTGGACCCCGAAAAAATAAATTTTAACATACATTTCGTCTTAAAACGTAACGGAGGTTTTTTGATACAGTTCTAGACGTTGAAAATGGCTGTAAAAAAGTCACTAAACTGCATTAAAAAACAACATTTTACAGGAGGATGACCTCCAGACCCCACTCCTTTCTTGGGAAACCCTAAACCACCAGGTAGCCCTCTATTACTACCACTATTTGAATCTTGAATCTAGCCCTCTCCCTTTGGTCCTAGAACCGTCACTGACAGTATTAGTAGCTGCCCAGGTCCAGGAGCTACACATACTTCAAATCAAAACATCTTTATTTTCCCTACATGTACATGGGTACAAAAATAGTGTCAAAGTACTAAACTAGCCTGGATATAAATATATTTTAAGTATGAATATTTATTCAATGATTTCCTCCATTGTATAAGGTGCCTTTCCAATTCAATATAATTTTTTTAAATTTAGCTTTAAATAATTTACAATTGATTCCTCCTTTATATAGGCAGGCATTTCCTTAGAATTAGTGATCCAGCAAAAGTCAGTTTGTTTTAGGAGAATTCCAGCTTATAGGTTGAAGTTACATCCTTTTTATGTCTTGTATTGTAACTATGTGGCACAACTGGCTCACATTGTATGCTGTCTCTTTTAGCTATACATGCTATTTATTGCAAAAACTGTTATATTTAGATTTTTGAAGTGATACTTATTGACATGTTTAAAATGATCATAAGTTTTGAGTTTAGAGTAAGGTACCAGTGGTACCACCTAGGTGGGTATTGCTGAAAATGATAGCAAGATAATCGTAGAATCTTTGGCTTTGAATGATATAAGCATAGACTATACGTCTTATCCATGGTATCCGCAGACTTTTCGTCCAATAAAATGAAGCTTATCTGTGTCTTTGTGAGTTAGTGGAGTTTGAGCGCTTGCGTCAACAAAATGTTTTTATATTGTTATTAGGGGAGATTTTTCATTTGTTATTTGCGTTTTGGTTATAAATTTAGGACAAGTATTTGGCTTAGTCAATTAGTTGATTGTTTTATTTTTGTACAACAGATATATTTTTATCTTCATCAATTTATATGGGACACTACAAAAGTAATTTGAACCCAAATGTAAACGAAATTATGAGTGTTGAATGGAGTTAGATGTCTTGTGTTTAGCGTTGTTACTAACCGAGACCGTCTGTTTCTACAGCCAGGGAAAATAACAACATAAATTAGCATTTAAAGTTTTTTGATGAACGCCTTGCAATTTAGTAAAGAATTACTATTTATTAAAAAAGTGTACGTATTAGTGTTTTTAAGTAAATTCATTAAAATAAAATCATCGGATTTGCTTGCCATAAACATTCTACTACGTTTTGCTTTAGGTCTGTTGTTAGTCTTTGTTAACACAATTGAATAGTCTGTAAAAATGTCAAATTACAGCTGATATAAACAAAAACTATTCTCGCCACCTGTCACGCTGTCATGTCAATCGCCCTCGCGAACAAAAACAACAATGAAAAACACTCCTTAGTCCATCCATAGACTTTGGCACAACGATGGATATCATTAACCTGCAAAACCAGTCCAACGAGTCTTGGTCCTTTGTATTCTTTAATTGAATAGTCAACGGATCAACTGATGGCACGGGAGTAGGAGGGGTATATAAAGAGAACCGGTGTCTCTAAGCATTCAGATCAGTTCATACTGAGTTTATGGTTGTAGTCGCGATGGTAATCTGTGTCTTCAATATGCGGTCTTTGTTTATATTATCTGTTGTAGTTCTATCAACAACTTATGCTTTTCCTGATCTGAGTGCCGCACTCGATGAAAAAATGAAGGGTGAGTGATTTTGTTCTATTATAGAATATTAGTCCTAAGTTAAAGAAGTTGTCCATAACCTAGTTTCCCTTGTCAATAATAGCCTATTCGCCAAATAAAATGTCTGCTGAAGTAACTTAATTCTTGTTCACAAAATCAATACATAAGTTATACCATTTTCTAGCAAATATAATTTGTGGTTGAATTCTTCATGCAGCTCGACTTTCAACTTAGTTAACTTGGGCTCTAAAATCTGAAGATCATGTATATTTTTTCAGCCTAGGTATAACTCTCAGAGGTTAACCCTTCAAGGGGTAGAACTGCCTATTACAGTGGGACTATAATAGTCGCTGTAACTTAGTTGCTGTCTGTAGTGGCAGCGACTAAGTAAGAATAAGTAGTCATGTTTTGTAAGGATTTTAGATCTCCAAATAAACGGTTACCAAACAATTGTATAACCGTAATTTGTATTTATAATTGTAATTTTAAAGATGGTTGTACATTGTATAAGCCTAAAAATTTAGTCATCGGCCGAAGTCATAACTTAAGTCATTTATTTGGCCAGATTTACATTAATGCATAAGTCAATATACATAAAAATACAGATTGTCTTATAAACTATAAAATAACTATTAAACTAAACAATATTTACATTTAATCAATTCATGAACCAAGCATACCATATGGCCATGACTACCCATCAGCAATAAAATCACGGACACGGTAGGAACACTTGGACACCAGTAATTTTTGAAGTGATTTAAAAAAAATAACAGGTTTTGAATCAATTTTGAGACGGGTTGGCAATGCATTGAAAAACACTACCTATAGGCTACCGTTACAACAAAAATGTTTTTTGAAAAAGGTGCTTGAATGCTGTGGTATGCAGATTAAGACTGTTTCGCAAATAAGATCTGGAACATGAAAAAATGGAAATGTTATTTTTCATAAAAGAGTGTTTCAAGGATGTAGATGAGTGAAAATTTAAAAACGTACGTTTTCAGAAAAAGCACTTTGCAAATTTTTTCCCCCTTTTTTCAAAACTTTTATTATTATTTTTATTTCATTAACATTTTAAGTTTCATAAAATGTCCATGGTAACGCAATATCTTTGGTAGTTTTTTTTAAAAGAGCATCTTTAGTGGAAAAACACAAAATCCTGTCACAACGATAACAGACGTTTAAATGAATATTAAAAATAGTTAATATTATTTTTATAACTATGTTTTGCTATAAACTAATTTACTTTTATGACCATTATACAATAAAAAGTTCACTGAGCTTTTGTTATATTTGGTCTTTCTAGAAAAAAATAAAAAAACTCAAAAAATTGAAAAAAAGCCAATAAAATCTTTTTAAGTTTGTATAACTCCGAAAAAACTTACCTGAGACCCGAAAAATCGTTATGTTTGTATAGAGGTGTGCTTCTTTTGTGTATAAAACATTGAAATATGACGATATTATAATTTTTGAAATTTGTATGATAGAAATCATAAACGTGATGGTCAGGGACAAGTGGTACGGTCGTGAGTTTTCTGAAATAATCTAAATATTTCTAAACAATCCTTCAATTATACTGTTAGTTATAATAAAAATATGTGTTTCAATTGAACTAAACTGTTCAATTTACAATTATATTAATGTTATTGTCACGACCAAACACACTATAATCCATAAGGCTGGATTGGTCGTGAAAAAACCTGCGATGGTCGTGAAACTTTGGTCGTGAAATTACGTGTTATTTGGCTATGTTCTGGCAGTAGCCCTGCACCTCATGTTCGAGGATACAAAGTGGACTTCTAGATTAATCTAGCAATTGAAATATCTTATAAACAAAAATTAACACCATGTCTACTTCATCGAATGACTACATACGGTCATGGACACACCAAAATTACAAAAACACAATCTTTCCTTTATTAATCTTGTAATTCCTCCTTTCAACTCGAAACGACCGGCACTACAATCCTGACGTACACCCCGAACTAGTCTCTAAATCCAACTGACTCCATCGACGCCAGGCTTGCCACTGTCGTGCTCCAAAGTTGAAATTTTTTCCCAAATGGTCGTGACGCCAAATCGAGGGACAGACTTATTTTGTCATGGTAGTCAGTTTTTAATGACGATAAAATTATAATATGCTCCTTTTTTGTAAGTTTAATAATGATTGATGACATAAAAATATGGCTTTATATATTTCGGCATGAATAATTAGTCTAAAAACAGCGTGAAAGTTGGAAAATGTACCCTAGAGACACGTCATGGTCGTGAATTTTGAGACTTTAAAAATACAAAAAAAATACCTAGAACCTATTTAAAACCAAATAAATGTGTGTAACATGTTGCCCCCGTCCCAAAAAATATTAAAACACATAATAATAAACTACAAATCCAGTATCTACGAAGTAAAAGGCCAGGGACATGAAAATGTACGTTTTAGCGAATTTCCCTATAGGGAAGTAGCTATTACCGTAGGTGGCACGGTAAGACCTAGACCCGGGACCGATTTACTTTTTCATATTGATGTCCCCAGAGGCCAAAAACACTATTCGTTCAAATTTTTATATATGTGAACGCGATAACTTGAGTAATTTTTGTCCGATTTTGATGAAATTTGGTTCAAAGGTGTAAAGCGTGATAAACTTGAATGAGTTCGCGAACCAGCACGATCGGACCATGGGAACGGGGCTTTACGGGGGGTTTTATGGGGTAAAAATTGGTTTTTCTCACTTTTGACCCTCAAAACACAAAATTTCCCAATTTTTCTTTAGACCTTTTTAAAGAGCTTAAAAAACAAATAATTTAGTATATAACAGTATTTTTGTTCGATTATTAGTAACTTCGGAGAAAATTAAAAAAATTGTAAATTAAAAATTCCCATGTTATTCTTATGGAGAATATTGTCAAATGTTGTAGTTTGCTTGTTTATGAATATATTTTGATCAAACACATCCCCATGTCGGCATTGTGTATACTAAATGAGGGAAAATTACCCCATTATAGGCTATCGTCATAAGGACGTTCTGATCAGAAAAATTTGACAATTATCTTAAAAGAAAGATGCCGGAAATATCACTCATACACACACTGTCGGCATGGTCATAAAAACTAAGGTGTTTGTCTAATATTAAACCAAGGAACACCTTCTGTCGACTCAATTTCCACGTTGTCTAAAAGGATAGTTGTGTGTGGATTGCCTCGGATTGAAAAATGGAACAATTAAGTTTTGTTGAAGTTGAGATTTAATAAATTGGTGTCAAACCACTGCTTTATGTTATTTGCTTCAATAAACGATTTTAATTCCAATTCCTCGGAAGTTGAGCCAGACAGGGCTAAAGACGTGTCATCCGCAAAAAGACAGATCTCCCCAGCCTCAACACTTGAAGGCAGTTCATTGATAAAAATCAGAAACAGCACAGGTGTTTCTGACAGGTGTTTGTGACAGATCCCTGGGGAACCCCACAAGTGACGATGTCCTGAGAGGAGACAAAGGGCCGAGCACATCCAGAACTGTCTAAGTTATACCTCTGACCTCAACGAATTGTTCCCTCGTTCGAAGGTATGAGGATAACCCCCTGTGCCAGCCCCCTCACTCCAATAGATTCTAGTTTATTGATGAGCATATCATTATTTACAGTATCAAAGGCCTTGCTCAGGTCAAAGAAAAGCCCTAAAGCATTTTCTCCTGAGTCAAGATCCCATACTACTTTTGTTATAAGTGTAAAAACATTGCATGAGTGGTTGATTTCCCTTTTAAGAATCCAAATTGGTTCTTAAACATAATATTATTTCTTTCTAAATATTGTATTAATCTTGTTATTACTACTTTTTTAAATAGTTTTGAACTGGTTGAAACTAGAGTGATAGGTCAGTAGTTATCGCAAGTGGTTGGTATGCCTTTTTATACAGTGGTTTTTCAACGGAGGTCTTTAATAGGCCAGGGAAGGTTCTTGCTTCAAAATTGAAAGCTAATCAAATCAAATCTCTTTATTGTCTTTCAGCTCTACAAATGCAATTGACATTGCCAAATGGTATCTTATCATTAAAGCATTGAACATAGTCATAGAATAAATAACAGGAATCTTGATCATAAATTATTTAAAAACATAAATAAAACCTCCAATAATAAATAAAAATAATAAAGCCTCCATAAATAAAAACCTCCAAGGACAAGAACTTATCTACAGAGTAAAAACATTTTAATTTTAACCATGAATCAAGGATTGTTTTAAACTTTTTTATTGGAATCGTTACTGCAGAAGGAGGCAATTTATTAAAAAATTTTATTTGTAGGCCTAGCTATTGTGTATAAGTGTAAGTCTTGTAAGTGGTAAGTTGAGATGATGGCTATTTCTTGTGTAATGTGCATGTATGTCAGATTGTATGTTATACTGGTCTATATTCTCTTTTACGTATAATAAGCAATTTAAAATGTATAAATATTAAGGAAGGGTTAGGATATTTAAGGCCTTAAAATCTGCTTTACAATCTTCCCTGGGCATTGTTCCTTTAATGCACCTAACTGCTTTCCTTTGCCATTTGAAAACGGTTTTTGCTCCTACAGAGTTTACCCCATAAGAGAACACCGTATTGTAGGTGAGAATGGAAAAATGCGTAATAACAGTTTAGAATAATTTGCTAAGCTAAGATTTCAAGCTTTTATTTTATTATTCATAAATGAACTTTTCACATCACAAAGGGATCAATGTAATTTAGCACACAAGTGACCAAACATTTTTGAGCAAAGTAATATTTGCACCATGTAACATACGCCTCATAAAACTGCTAAACATGGTAGGCATATGTTTAAAAAATCACAGCCAAGAACATATTTTTACTAAAGTACTGAGAAATGGGTGGTACCACTGTTACAGTAAAGAAATTTCCTTTTTTATGGTGTATTTTGAACCTTTCTCTACAGAAAGACAAGAGAAAATAATTTTGAAAAATAAACTGGCTGGGGAAGTTAATATACAGTAGTGGAGGTTAGTGAATGGGTAACTTTTCTAGACCTATTGTTTTAATGTATTATTACAAAGTGTAATATGGTGCAACATTTAATTTGAAATAGTAGAACGTCTAAAAACCACATTTTTAGTGAGATTGTGGTTTACAGTATATAATGTTGGCTAAGCGAAAAAAAAAAAACTATGTTTTTATATGTTGTTATGTTGTTTACTCCGAGGTTACATCACTCAAGGACATCAACGGACAGGTTATTGCCCTTCCTCTTCCTTGATTGGTTCCAAGTTGATAGCCTATATTCTCTTCAATCACCTTCAAATTTATCTTGCGTTTTATGTTTGCTTCCTGCAAAGCCAGTTGTTGTGACGACTTACATTTCAGGGACAAGATGACTGGCACTAAAAAGTACTATTTTAAATTTAAATATGACATTCCATTGAGTGCTTTTGATATATTTAGTAAAAAAATAAATAAATAAAATACTTTCAGTATAAACATTGGTAATAAACAAATAATTCAAACTCGTTAATTTGTCATTGATACTTACTAACTTGATACTTAAAGTCTTCATCCACGTCTAACAGATTAAATGTGTTAGGTTTCTTCTTATAGCCTATTTATGTACTTCAGTACTGTAATACAGTACTAAAAATATCTTAGATTCTCCGAGCAATAATTTGTTTTAATTTTTTCAGGGGTCAGCGCTGATCTTGACGAAATAAAAAAAGATCTAGAGCAAAAAACTCGAAGGGATGTTGATATCAAGCCGTAAGTATTTTTCTAGTGGGACTTTTTAGAATTATTTTTAGAGTTATGATATAACTAGCTGTAACCCGCGGGCTTTGCCCCGTTTAACTTCTTAATTTTCAAGATTATCTCGTTCGCATGGCTCAATCACGTCCTGGTTGAAGTTTGTTCGCTACGCTCACTCACCTTAAGGTTGGAGCTCGTCCGCTACGCTCACTCAACTTTAGGTTGGAGCTCGTTCGCTGCGCTCACTTGCCTTCAGGTTAGCTCGTTCGCTACGCTCACTCACCTTTTGGTTGCAAATTAGCTGTTGTCATAAATGTAAAAGAAATAATAGTGCTGCACCCTGTTAGTAATCCTTGTAACTTTAATGCTATTGAACATCATAGAACAGAACCAACTTGTTTAATTGAAACAGCTGTTTCAATAATTCCATTTCTCATATGGTTAACATGGGAAACTCCAGAGCCACTGGGGCGGAGCCCGAAAGGATTTTTGAAATAAGAATATGCCTATATGTTAATCGGGAATGTGAGCTATCATCATGCCAAATTTCAGCCCAATCCGACCAGTATTTTTCGCGTTCACTTGTCACAAACATACATCCATACATCCATACATCCATACATCCAAACTTTCTCATTTATAATATTAGTAGGATGTAGTTTTGTAGTTTTGGTTTATGCTTTTTATCACCACCATTGAATTATAGTTAACTTAGTAACTGTGCAGATGTTAAATTTTAATTGCTTCTTTGATTCACACAGAGAGCCTGTTGAATCATGGACTGGAAAATGGTTCCCTGAAAAGCCTACAGAAGCACCCAAAACTGGGGGTTCCGGCGGCGGAATGGACGGCAATAACATGTGGAAAATGATTAACAGTACTTGTGACGACGGAAAGGTAAGTAGAATTCTATACGAGACATTTATTTGCTAGTTCAGATCTTTCTTAATTTATTAAATTTAAATCTTTTCAGAGAGCTGAAAGTGTTATATATTTATACAATCCCAAATAACAGAAAATAAATAAATAATGATTCTTCTTTGGAAGTTATATATTTATATTTGAATGGCTATGGTATGTTTTACCTAGGGAATTCAAAATGCACACACCATCTCCAAATCTCAATGCTACATAGCTCCATAAAATCGTAATGGAAAAGAACTGATGTGATTTTTAATCCTTCTAAGCTGTGGAACCAGTTTTTCTGTTCCGGTATTCTATTGACCTTGCCCTTAAACATCACAGAGTTGATTAACCTGATTGGTAGAGTGTGGAAATTTATTAAAATTCATATACATCAATGTTAAATAAATGAAAAAAATAATCATTATACTTTAACAAATCATATTTAGAATATTAATGTTAAAACACACTTGTTCATTATAAAAAAAAAACAAAAAAAAAAACAGGCATATCCTGTAATATGTTATTGAAGGAAGAAAATATAGGTTTGATTTAAAAAATTACAATTGATTTTAGTTTTGAGTTTCAAAAAAAGCTTATTAAAAAATATAAAAATTCATAAGTGGGTGACTTTTTCTCAGCTTTAGATTGTGTCTAGAGTAAACAGGAACAAATTCATCTATCCATTTTGGTCTGGTCATGTGATCCAAATTTGTGTAGATCTACCAATTTGGATTACCCTACATGGGACAAACTATTTTATATTTGTAAAAAAATAATAGTAGGCTAGACACTATACATTTGAACCATTATCTAAAAAATTGAATACTAAAAAATAGTAAAATTCAAAATTTTAAAGTTTAAAATCACAATGTGTGCATTTATAATAGAAAACAAACATTATGCTAGCTAACCTAGAAATAATTTATATCGTTTTCTAAACACAAAAACTATTTACTTCCTGAATATGGAAAATGGAAATTAAATATTATTCCTGATATCCACATAATTTTAGTTTCTACCAACTCAAAAAATTGTTTTACACTTCATTAGCTTCTGAAAATGCAGTAAAGTTATATAATTGACTTCCTAGTGCGTACTCTGGTCTAGAAACAAGTGACAAAGGAATTCTGCTGCAACTTGCCAAGGTCGCAGGTTGGCATGAGAAATAGTATGAGAAAAGTCCCTGAAGGTCAAACCACAAAGAGTAAACTCGCTAGGTTTATTACTTGTCCTGAAGGTCAAATCTTCAAGGACTCAAGTAGTAATAAACAATGTCTAACAAGATTTATTCGTCATTAATCTTCATATTATACTTTCTGACCGATCATGTCTGATATTTTATGAATATCTGAAGGATACTTGCTACTTAGTAAATTGATTGTGTGAAGCCAAATTGTTACAAAACAGGTAATTATTTCCAAAGGAAACATGATGAAAGATAATCTATTGATTATAACACAAATTAGGCCTAACTCAAACATTTTTCCCATTTCGAAATCAAGGATGGTATGAATTTCGATTTATTCGTTACCTTTGAAATAAAGAACAAATAAGGAAGAACACCTACTGTATTTATATACTACCTTTATCCAGCCGCCAGCGATGGTTCAAGTTTTAAACAACTTCTTAACATCTCAAACACCACAACATCTCTCTTGTTCCATTAGTATTATTCTGTCTGAAATAGTCAATAGTCAAAAACCATAACAATAGAAGACTATCGTGCTTATTATTTTTGTAATGAATTATTTTATTTTCAGTCCAACCTGACAGTGGATTGGAACAACAATGATATGGACTACATTTGTGCCGAAGGAGACTATCTAGAACCGGACACTTCCTTGAAGGCTACATTGGAGCAGGAGCACATTCCTCCTATGTACATTGTGAGTAGATGAGATTAAATCTTGAAATCGACTTTAGAGAACAGTTAAAGTTAGGGCTACACTTTGTCCGATTCGGTCCGTTCCGCTCCGAATTTGTGAGGGGTGGCTACACTTATCCGATTGTTTTTGTTCCGGTCAAGTTTTACCTATGAAATAAGTGAAACATATATAAACACGTGAAAAATCGAATTTTTGGAACTAGCTCAACTACTTCAGTTGTAGAGTCTTTGTTCTTGTCACAGGAAGAAGGAAGAAATATGCTGTCCCTAGCATATGATGTTTTGGTTTCTATTGAATTATTCCCACAGTTTGGATTTTGCATGGATAGGATATAGAACATATTTTGATCATATAATATCTGGTACCTGCCACTACGTTTAATCAGTAAAGTTCACCCTTGTACTGTACTGGCTCACCTCTTGCTTTGCTGGATACGTACCATGCACAGGCTTTTGTGGCCCATGTTTACTGACAATTGCAAGGTAAAAGAGGCCAACCTCTTGAACAAAAATCAATTACGAAATGTAGAGATATTGACCAAACACCATTGACTGGACAGCATATTCTCTTCGGAGGTCCTTTGGACCTAGCCAATCCTTGCCAGCCACTAAGTTTAACTTGATTGCCTAAAACGTTAATTCCAGATCAGACTGTGGACAATTTAAAAAATAATGTTAGTGTTCTCCATTTAAGGTTGTTTCTTCATGTAGGCGTTTTACGGATTATTTTTACTTTTGCGTTTAAAAAACCTTGTCAAAAGCACACGAGCTAGATCAGTCAGTTAACTGTAAGTGAATATCTTAATCTTAGTGAAAGTTGCGGCCTCGGCACTTTTAGCTGAATGATTCAACGAAACTAAAAGTCATTGTTGCATATGGCTTGTAAATTATTAATGTTTGCCAATACCTGCCTACGAAATCCTCGACAAAAGAACTTGTTGAAACGTTGAAACCATTTAAGGATTTTGCCAAGTCACTTGATGTAATATTCAATAATGCAATGCATGAAGTAAACTGTCAAAGGAGTGATTCTTTGCACTGTGTGCTAGATTATTCTCGGTTTTTATATGTTCTTATTCACTAGTATTATTTTTGTATTGCTTATCAGTGTTGTAATATTTTCATTTTATAATTTGGAACAAAAGAAAATCTTTATAGAAGATTAAAATTGAATGAAGGTCAAGGCAGAGAAATGAATGAAACAAAAAGCCACTTTACTCATGTGATTAACTATATTTTCAATTGATAACGCATAAGCTATATTATAATTTGATCTTTTAAGTTTTGTTTTCAAAATCACTTCTGTGTTGCTATTTTAAACATCGACAGCATTACAAAAAATATTCAAATAATTTTAGTCTCAATTCCTTTAAGGTTACTATATAAGTTAACATTTTAAGCTATCGGCTTCAAAAAAGGTTTCTGCTGACTTTTAATTTAGCTTAAGCTTACATTTCATGTGACTACTGTTTTCGAAACTTACAACATATTGTTAATCAGAAGGCTAATATTAATTGATCCTACTCTCAACACAATTTGTTATTTATTGACTTTTCACAAATTTTTAGGTCTATACTACATTATGAAAGACAGACTGATAATTGAATAATCAGCTGATGACTTATACCAGCTGATTTCTCGGTTCTGAAACTAAATTGAGCCATTTTAGCTCTAAATTCCTTTCTGTTCCAGGCCAGACATGTTTGTATGAAGTCTGAAATTCCGTATGAACATCCTCTGCTCACATTGTAAGTACTGTCGTTTTTTTTATAATGCCAATTGTTTTTTTTTAAATACACCTAATTCAAATTTAATTTTTACCTGGAATTATAGGGAAAAAATCACATTTTAGGCTGATTATATCTTAAATGTAAATCTTGTCCCAATTTTTTATTCTAAAATTATCTACAATTCAAAATATTGTCCCAAGTAATTTTTTGTATCATTATGTGTTTAGTCAGGTTAAGTGAGGTTACCATAGCTCGATATAAAAATATACGGGTGCTTATCAATCGTAAATCTATATGGTTAATGTGATATGGAACTCTCCTAACATTATTTAACCAAAATTTGGAAAGGTTAGACATTGGAAAATACTAATTTTTCCTATTAACATTTTATTTTTACCGCAACCCAAATTCAATTTTTTTGTTTTACTCTTAAGAAATACATCTAAACCTTGGATAGAATATTCACCATAATACACTGTTTTTAGACGTTTCACTTAATGTGAAGTGGCATCATCAGTTCTAGCTACTGAAGTTAGCCACTGAAGATGCCACTTCAGAGTAAGAGTGAAACGTCTGGCAACAGTCTATTGGTGACGATGCGGTTGACGCCAAAAAACACCACCATGAACTCTGATGACACCGGCCGGCAAAGCCTACGTAAGAAAACATTGTCTTCGATAGATCCTGAGCTTTTTTCACACGAGCACTCTTGCACTGCAATGCGAGCCAAGCCACACCTTCACTATAAAAATGTGATTAGTTGTGAAAGGAATATTTTTAAAACAAAGTTTGAGTGTTTTTATCCACTAATCCTCTTTTTAACATCTCGGCAATTAAGTGCCCTTGGATCAATTTGATACCAGCGTCTAGTGGTGTGACTTTCAGTGTTGTTGGGAACCTTTGTCTCATTCCCAAAAATTCCATCCTTATTGACACGATCTATAACTACAATTCAAAACTAACATGGATTTTAAAATATGAAGAAAAGTAGGATTTTTTGTGGTTTTTTACTGTTGGTATCCCTGTTTCAGCGGACCTCATCGACCAGCGTGGGCCAAGTATGGTGAATATAAGTACCTACCTCCCCAGCGATACCTTCACAACATGGAGGTAAGAATCGGGGAAATTTATGTGGGAAAATGTCTAAAAATCATAGGAAGAGTAGAATATTGGTTCAAAAAAAAGCTATGATGTAGCTAAAACAATTTTATTTTACAAGAACAAGAATTTGTTCCCTACTTTATTATTCATCTATTGTCTATTATAATCACGTACTATTCTTGAGCTCACCCTAAGTTGAAGTAAGCTTAAGAGTGTGACTGAATATAAATTATGAAAATGTCTGGATCCAGGAAAGTCCATTAGGAAATTTGTGGGAAAGCAAGGACAATGTATAGAACAACCAGGGAAATATGCAGAAAAATCAACCATAAGGAAAATGTAAGGGAGGAGTAAGGAAAATGTGTAGAAAATCTGGGAAACATAGGAAAACTCCTTTTAAAGTCAGGGAGTATTTTGACGCATATTTTAAGAAGTTTAAAACATTACATATAAAAGAAAATAAGGTTATTAAAGAAGTTATGGTTATGAATGTAAGTTTAGTTTTCCGTGAACGTATTGTAATTTAGCTACCAGAAGTAAATCCTAAGTTTGAAGTAGACTTAAAACGTAAGACGTAAGTCTTGAAAAACTTGTTTGAACTTGAAACAATGGCCGTTAAATTCACTTGACTTTGAACACCTGTTAAAATACCAATAGATCAGATGATTGTCTACTTATTCTATTGATATTTTTTTTAGTTTGATTTGCATAATTGACTAATCGTAAATTTCCGAATACTTAGATCGTTTTAAAAGTTATTTAGAAAAAAAAGTAATTACAGGCATTTTTTAAAAAGCTTATTTGCTAAATATGTAACTTAAGCAATTATGTAGTGGAAATGTTTTTCATCAAAACCCTTTTTACGTGAATTTTTATTGACTTAACAAATTAATATATAAATAGTTAAGTCATATACTTAACTCAAAGCCTTTTACAATAGCAGCCTAAAGTAAAATCCATACTGATTTGTTTTACCAAATTTGTTTAAGCTCGTCTGTACATTAAATCTGATAGATCTTTTACATATTTTTATGTTGGGGAAAATTTTAACCATATATTATTCTCAATCATTATTATTGGGCCTAGTAAAGAAGGTACTTGCTGTTTGTAGTAAAAAAGAAATATTGAAAGGTTTTCAAACTTTTGAATCTGTATCCAATTTCACTGTCGATGAATTATGTTCTTTTAAGATCAAAGTTTAATATCGCTGTTTGTAGTTTTAACAGCCTTTTCTTTTTCAACAACACAGATGCATTATTTTCGTCTATAGCTGATTGTAGTTTTAACAGCCTATTATGTTATGACATCACAGATGCATTATTTTCGTCTATTAGCTGATTGTAGTTTTAACAGCCTATTATGTTATGACATCACAGATGCATTATTTTCGTCTATAGCTGATTGTAGTTTTAACAGCCTATTATGTTATGACATCACAGATGCATTATTTTCGTCTATAGCTGATTGTAGTTTTAACAGCCTATTATGTTATGACATCACAGATGCATTATTTTCCTCCATATCCGATTGTATTTTAAACAGAATATTCTGTTAAGACATCACAGATGCATTATTTTTCTGTATAGCTCATCATAGTTTTAATAGCCTATTCTATTTTTACAGCATGGAGGCATTATTTTTCTGTATAGCTCATCGTAGTTTTAACAGCCTATTCTATTATGACATCACAGATGCATTATTTTTCTGTATAGCTCATCGTAGTTTTAACAGCCTATTCTATTTTTACAGCATGGAGGCATTATTTTTCTATATAGCTTATCGTAGTTTTAACAGCGTATTCTATTATGACATCACAGATGCTTTATTTTTCTGTATGGCTGATGGTAGTTTTAACAGCTTATTCTATTTTGACAGCAGGAGGCATTATTTTTCTGTATAGCTCATCGTAGTTTTAACAGCCTATTCTATTTTTACAGCATGGAGGCATTATTTTCCTGTATCATCCCTGTGCAGCTCCGTCTCTCGTCAACAAGTTGAAGAAAGTTGTCAAGAGTTGTCTGTACCGTCACGTCATCAGTGCTTCTCGTCTTGTGCCTAAAGAAAGGGTAACGACCAACTACTGTATACCAATTAGAACTTATGCAGAGCTCATTACTGTTTGAGTTTAAGTTAACTTCACTAATCCTAATTAGGCTTGGTTGTAACTCACATTAGCTACTGAGGCTGTTTTAAGTGTTACTTAACATAAACTATAACTTTGTATGCACCAATCAACTATTATTGTGAGGAAAACGAGGAAAGAAAATACAACTTAGGCCCGATTTCACCAAATTCTTGCTAACGATGGTTTAGTTAAACTTCGGTTAAAACTAACCGATGATTTAAACCACAGTTAAGGAAATCTGGTTTCACCAACGAAAACGCGTCAACACTAACGCTGGTTTTATAAACGAGAGTTTAGAGTAAAATCCAGGTGGCGGTGGCAGTGAACTGTCATAATATCGGGCTGTTACGGGAGCAAGTAAACATAACCTAGAAAATAAATCAGTGTTTATGAGGTTGTGAAAACAAAACTGGAGACAGCAAGCTTACAGGAATACAATAGATTCTGAGCAAAATAACAACAGAAAGCAAGAATAAATACCAAAACAATTAACATAGGCAAATAAAGGCAAAGCAATGTTGATCAAACATATTCGAGGAACAAATTGGTTGAGTTTTGCAGTTGAGTCAAGACTCAAAATCCAACTTTTTACAGGGCTGTTCAATATTCTGTTTGTTCACTAACCAGTTTGGTACATTTGAAGTAGTAAAAAAAAAACTGGAGTCAAAAGAATTACAAGACGAGACACAAAGATAACACTGAAATTATTATTTTCTATAAAATACTGGCACAATAATGACAATTTAGGTTTAGATTTTGCCTTACTTACGTCTGACCAAACGCAAAACAATTGTTTGAACGTTGGGTTAGGGTTACCAAAAACCGGGAGAAGGAAAAGGGAGCCTATTTTTTAGAACAATGAAATAATAAATTTGATAATGTTGGTAGAAGAGCCGGGACACTCTTTTTAGCCGGGATTAACACTTAAAGTGCCGTTGACATGTTTGAACATGAAAATTGCATTTATTTCAATGTTAAGCAATGGCGGGAATTCCCGTCATCAGCACCCAACGTGTTAAAGAGTACGGCTCTTGATCGCCAATCAGGTCAATGCGGTCACTGATCACAGATATACTCCTTAACTAAAAACCTTGTTGGATAACCTAAAGCAATGCACTATGTGGGATAGCCTAAACACAACCACTACCTACAGTGGTTTGTATTCATTTCTTAATGAAAAAGGCTAAACGTTTTGATAGTTTGTATCAAATAATAAAATCAATTTCATCTTTGTTATTAAAATCATTAACCCTTTCTCTTATCCACCTAGTTCGGCGAACAACATAGGCTACTCTTCATTGCCATCACTTAATTTCAAAAGCTAATTCGTACCGTATTCTCTTCTACCATTTCACCTTTCCATATAAACTTTAAACTTAAAGCCAGCTGATATTTACTTAACGAAGGATTAAAGAAGTTAACCGGTCAAAATTGGGCAGTTAATTATCTAACGACGGTTTAGTCTAAACTAGCTCTAACGGCGGGTGGTGAAATCCGATTTCGTCATTTAAGAGTTAACTGCAGTTAGAGCATGGTTTAACGGCGGTTTAAGTGTTTGGTTAAATCGGGCCTTACACTCTACAAGAGGATCATTTAACTTATTTAAATTATCTTTATTTATATTATGTACAAATTGTGCAATAAACAGTGTCAGGTTATAAATACTAGCCTATACAAATACCGTACTTAACTATACAGCTGTATACATTCATAAAAAGTTAATTTTGTAGAGTGGTCCATAAACTTCTCTATAGAGGATTTTCTACCAACACTTTGTTGAGAATTCTCTAAACTTTTAATGCCATTAATATCTTATTTGATTTCTTTGGGAATAAACTTTAACAACATTACACCAGAGTATGAGGGCTTAGTTTTGAATACTTCCAGATCTTGTTTTGGCAAAACTATATTTTTATGGTATTGTATGTGTGGGTTTCAATGTACAAAGATCCAAACCATTAATTTGAACAATCTTTCAGAACTTACCAAATCCAGAAACTTAAACATTTCACTAAATGCTCATTTTCCGATAGCCGTTTGTGCTGTTGTCGTGGGGCTGGCGTATGCTGATGCCCACCGCGGACACCAAGCTGGCCGTGGAGTTTATCAGGGAACACGCTCTGCACGGCTACGAGAAGACGCACAGGGACGGTTACTACGACCAACTGCTGGTCGATCCCGCTAAGGTGGTCAGCACACCAGAGGACCAGGAGCTGTGTCCCAAGTACAAGGACTTCTAGAGGTTTGTGTGGATTATAGGGTGTCCCTGGAAAAGGTATTTTTAAAATTAATATACCAGAAATATCCAAAATGCTAAAATTCAAAACTCCACAGCTGCAACGAACAAAAAAAACACCTCCGAGTTCCCCGTGATTGCGACCAATCAGGACAAATTGGTAGGACATATAAATAAGTGTGGTTTTGTTATAGTAGTTTACGCAACAATTGCGTAAAGATAGTGTTAACGACAAGAGTAGAAAATTTTAAAACTTAGTGTCGTTAACAGTATTTAGGCGAGTTGCGTACACTACTTTAGCTACGACAGCGTTTTAATTACTAAAAATCACTACTCATAACTTCTAAGAGAGGTTATGTTTTTGTTTATAACCTCTCATTGTCGCTGACAGTGATGCAACGAAACATTGTACCAAACATTAATTGCACCACTCGACAATTAAATTGGCCTGAACAACTAACTAAATAGTTCAAGTTTGAATCATTAAAATTTTACTTCTCTCTTAATCCTTGAACCTGATTGGTCTGTACCCGTGTTGTTATGAGTAAAACTATGCTGTTATGTGAAACTTTTCAATTCTAAGAACTGAACTGAAACGGCTACCTTAAAAACAGTCGTAGGTAAAAGTTTTATATTATTATAGCTATAAATTATATAGCTATATTAAAGTTATTATATTTGCAAAATCATTTCAAATTAATTCTTGATTTTCTTTTACAATGTTACTTAAAAGATAGTGGTAATTCATAAATTTCATTTACAACCCTTCATTTAATCTGATGCGAATAAATTGCTATGTACAAATCTTGCTAACAATTTTTTTTCCTGTTTTGTTGATCTACCAATTTGTTCTGAGTACCCAGACTAAAATGAGACCAGGGTATTTTATAAGTATTTATTATAACTGCAGTGTTTCAAGTTTGCAGCGTGTTTGATACGTCTGGTATGTAAATTAAAAAATAGCAGCTCTTTGAGAGACACCCTGTATTTGATGTGCTTCCAAACAATGTGTACCGTACCACTAGTGGCAAGCAGATAGAAAGTAACTTCATTGAATATTCAATTTGATTTGTATGTACAACATTTTCTTGAGGCAGGACCGCACATACGACATTCACCGAGCAACTACTCGACAAGTGTGGATGGCTGTTTGTCTACTCGTAATTTTGCAAAGAACGTAAGGGATCTTTGTTTCCCGCTTCATGTCGAACTTTTCCTCACATCAAAGCAACTAACAGACTGCTCAGATAGTACGGTAACAAACGTGTGGACCCCTCTGCACGGAAATCGGTAAATACTAACACAAGTAGTCAAATTGCACCCCTAGTCAATTTTTCTGTGCTAGGCTAATTATTCCTACTTTTACATGTGTTCACCTCCTCATTATCAGCATTGAGAATTGATTCTTCTCACTCTGTTTCCATACTTAAAAGATTTTATTGTTTCAGGTTTTTCTCAGCATTTTGATATCACTTCACGTGCCAGCCATTAGATTTTTAAGATTTATGTGTGTAAGGGAAAAGTATGAAAAAATAAAAAGTGAGCTATTGCATTGTTTAGTTAGTCAAATGTTAGAACAATGATTTTAAATATACTCATTTCTTACAAATAACTTTTAAAACACGATTTAGAATAACAATTTTTTACCAACTGAATTATATTAGTTGAACATTTCTGTTAAGATCTCTTTTAACTTTCAGTTTTGGAAATTTGTCTTAATCCATACTTCATAACTAGAGTTACAGATATGAAATATAAAGATCTTTGATTACCGTTAGATGTTATTGATATAAATTAAATATTTTTGGAGTTTAATTTTTGCACAAGCAGTATTTATATGTTTGCGTTCCTGATCTCGATTATGCATTCCATTGCTTGCATTGATTGTTACAACATGCTTACAAAATCTCAATATTACAAGTGATCAAAAGTATTTTAGATTTTGTTACGAATTTCTAAAATTTATTTTCATATTATATTTTAAATATTTATTTTATTAGCTTTTTAAGAAATTGTCCTAAAATAGGAAGTATTGTATTGTTGTCAATTATTTGTTGGTTAAAAACCAGTGATCTTATTATTAATTAGTTTTATACTGGATTTTTACATAATACTCTTAACAAAGTATAGAATTTGTATAAATTTTATAGAATAAGGTCGTAAGAAGGGTATTAAGCCTTGTAGACCTTTTTGGTGTTTTCTATAAGGTATTTTTAAAAGCTGTGCTTTAAAGTATGTTTTGTTTTTTATTTGTGTCTATTAAATGAATGTTTACTAAGCTATTATCATTCCTTTGATCCTTGAACTTGTTAGCGAATTTCTGTAGATAACCTTTAAAATCCGAATAGGTCAACAAATGAAATTAGGCCCTAGAGTATCAGTAAGTTTAAAATTATACATTTGCGCTAGTATAATGGGGAGTGGGGTCATTAATTTTTTTAATTTGGTACCGTTGTAGAGGCCATGAAACAGTGGACGGTACCATGCTCTATGTTTGCATTGCTAGTCTCATCACAACAGTGCAGCGACTTCGTTGAGTCCACTTTTAATTTGGATTTCATGATATCATTTCCACCTTAAATTGTCCAGTTGGTAATTAATCCCTGCCGCAATGTATCTTAAGGACGTAATTTACCAGGATACGGCAACGATAGGCGAGCACACGGTCTGCTCAGGAAAGTTCGCCTAGCCTGTGCTCCATTTTGTCGGTTTTTGGGACGAGTCAAAGTTGAGTGTCGGAAGTTAAAATATGTCTAACCACTATCAAGCATGTTCTGCTAACATGGGCATGTACTGGGTGAGCTCATGGTTCATATTCGTCGTCACAACTCAAGTCAAAAACTCGGCGATAGTGTACTGTCAGCATAAGGAATGTATTAAACACCTGTTTGAAACAAAGTGGACTCTACCTGGCTGATATTATTTTTCCTAACTAATGGACATTTTTGAAAAGTGTAGTTAACTAATTTTAGAAGTATTTCTTGAATGTCATAAGTTAAAGGTTTGAATTTACACAAATCCAAATGAGCAATGCTTAACGTCTGGTCTTTTTCGGCGACCCTTACAACTGTTGTTGCACTAAGTCAACAGTGGCATGTAAAAAAACACAACTACATCTGTTTTTGGATAGCGCTAAAATTAACAAAATTTATTAATTTAATCCTTATGCTGACTAAGTAAAACTGTTAACTGTTAATTTAGTTTTCCTACCACCACATGAAATTATCACATTGACACATTTGTAAACAGTACGCAAAAGAGTTAATTTCTGATTGCTAAATCAGCTGATTTATTGGCATTTCTGCAGAAACCACAACCGTGGAGCCGGTATGTTAACCAGTAAGCAAATAACATAACTTAAAAAACCAAACACAAACATTACCTAAATGACATTTTATATGCAACAAAAAGTTAATCTGTGTAAGTCAATTATGGTGGTAGGAAAAATCTAGTGTATATTACGAGCACAAACAGTCATTGCTGCTCATGTATGGCCACACTCAGCTTAAGGTTCGTGCGGCCATCTTCAGTTCTCAAGCGGCAATAACACACTTTGCAGTCTTAATACACAAATAGTTATTATTAATAAAACATGAATATACTCGTATGTCTATTGAGTGAAAATATAGGTCTCGGAATTCAAATCCAGCCCTCTGTCTTTGTGCAATAAAATATAAAATAAACATACGAGACGTAGGAATTGGCTAACTCAGGAACTCGCTATCTCGGTCGTGTGGCGGAACTGGCTAACTCTGGAACTGGTTAACCGTCTCAGTCAGGAATTGGCTAACTCCGGAACCCGCTAACTCGATTTTGTCTCGCGGCGGAATTCGCTAACTCTGGAAGTCGCTAACCCGGCCGCGCCCACTGCTTGGAGCGTTGCCAACCTTGTACGACAAAATAATCGTACACTGCCGTATTTCAAAATGTCAGTGTCTATAAAGATACAGTAAATGTTATTGTTTTTTGTTATCAATTCCACTTTTAAGAGATAACTAGCCCAAAGTAATTAAAAGACAATTAAAAAATCATGAAAAAGTGTTTTTTATTAAACTGTACAATGGCCAGTTAAATGTTTATGATTTCGATCTTAAATATAAATGCCATCAGTATAAAAGAAAATAATAGAATATGAAAAATATTTAAAATTTAGTTTAATTGGTAATAAATAATTAAACCTCTACGAAATTAAGCTAAAATACACGCAAGTTCTTAAACACGGAAAACAGATTTAATTGTAACGTCGTAATAAACCAAAACCATTAATTAATACAGTCATCAACCATCGTAACTTTCATAGATTTTATAACTTCATAGATTTTAAATTAAATGTTCGTCGTTGAACCGTCCAACTTACATGTACAAATATAATGACATAGACTAAGTTTTTATCTAGGCCTAATAGTTTGAACCAAAGCATTGTAGGCCTAATAGTAAATAGTTGCCTAATTCTAAAATGTGTTGAATTTTTTAGCAATAATGATACATGTTTTAAAACGGTTTTTAGATTGTACACCTAAGCACCACTAGTAAACAATAGGAGAAGATATAATATTCATATAATAAAACGTGACAGGGTTATTTTAATTCACGATTTTTAATAAACTAATTGACGGATTTTCCTGATTTGAGTGTTGGGTTTCCTTTATATTGCTTTCACAAACGATATAAACTATACCAAGCCATTGCTCGGTTCACCATTCCCCAGTACTGAGCTACACAATAGACAATAGCTTTGTTTTTGGATAAGATAGAACCAGCCTGGAAAAAAACTCCAGACTTTTAAAAAGTAAGCCTACTGAAAGACGTAAAATTAATATTAATTCAACAAAATTAAGAGGATGACCCGGGTTCTACACTAATAGCCTACGATAAAAGAAATTTACAAGTTGTATTTATACATAGACTAACTTTTAATGCAATCCATGAATACATTAGGCCTACCACTTTATAATGTATTGATAAATGTTTATTTAAATTCAATAGCTCTATTTAAAAATACATAACCACTACAATGTAATTCTGTAATGACGTTTAACGTGTAAATTTTATTATGATTTATGATTTAAGGTTACTACAAGCCCAGTATATAAAATACGAACTCAAAAATTTTATTTGCAGAAGTTCACAAAATGGTATTTATTCGAATAAAAGAAACAAATGGCGGACTACGAAAATAGATATTTCATAACATGTAATAGATCCAAATTAAATGTGCATTTTTATCTTTTTCATACCAATAACCTACTATTTAAGTAAGAAACCCAAATATAAAACATACTCCCTTATATTAGTACATTTCTCATCCTTATGGATGATCTGAAGACAGTTGTATTGTTAGTTCTGTCTGGTGCACTGTCTTTAGAGGTCGTGTTTTGTTTACAATTGTTTCTTGTTTTCAGTAATTTAAAACCTCGTTTAACCAAATAAAACGTTCTAATCACGACTAATAACACGTCCCCTAGTTATATAACCAAACAGTAAGGAACAAATCATGAAGTTAACTATAAAATAATAGAAACACAATTTTGTCGACACTAGCGATCAGTGTCACCGGACATGAACTAGACACGAAAAACGAGCTTCAAAGTTTACAATGGGATGTAAAGTTTACTTGTGTTGGTTAGTCTATGGTAAGACTATAATGCATTTTCCACCCTAATAATCATAAGAACTTCTCTGTGGTTAAACATACTTCTAAATATATTTATTTTATCGACTACGTTGCTCTTACTCCTAATTTATCGTAGGATACGACATTATGGTGCCGATACGATATAGGTACTACACTTTCGGCAACACTGGCCAAAAATATTCGTGCTTGGCTCCCATTGGACGGCCCGCGAGGCTTCTGATTGGGAGTTAGCGAGTTCCGCCGAGGGACCGAGTTAGCGACTTCCGTACGAGGACGGAATTCGCTAACCCGGCTCTAGAGCGGGTTAGCGGGTTCCGGAGTTAGCCAATTCCGAAACCGAACAAGTTAGCGAGTTCCTCTCATCGACCAAATTTGAAGATAGGGCATTTAACATGGGGTTAGCGAGTTCCAGAGTTAGCCAATTCCGCGGACCCAAAATAAACATACACCTTATAACTTATTTTGCTAAAAATCATTTAACTTATCACATTAGTTTCATAAACAGGCTACACTCTAGTAGAATTAAAATAAAAGGAATGAAAGACGCAAAAATACAAATTAAACAGGTATTTATTTGGTTTGTACAACTTACTTTTTAAGTCTTGAAATGTAACATGAAGAACAGAGAATAACTTATAAGTAACCAAATGACAAAAGCTTAAATTTAACAATATAAAAAGGGCACGCCAATGGGGTGTCACCACGCTGAGGCGCTTGTTATCATACGCTCTTGCGTAGCTTGGAATCGAAGGTGGGCATCGATAAAAAGCGAATCACAAGTCTTCATCATCCTCTGGTAAAGGAGTATCTTGTGCTTCCTGGAACAAAATAACAACAAACTGTCAATGTTTTTGCTTATTGGTACCTACCTATAAACCCTACACTAGAGGTGGTTAAAATATTACCATTGATACTACTATTCCAGAAGTACAACCTATTAAATTGGTACTGAGAATACCCTGAATACCCTCGGAACTGTATGAATGAGCAAACTATCGATGGCTAAAATTGTGTCTTCCATAGGTAACAAAAAAAAACATCACAAAATAATTGCATTTCGGCAATAGGTATTTAGATTGCCGTACTGAAATAGGCCTACTACTAGGCTACATGCTATTTTTATCGACGTCTTAACTGTGTGATCGAACAAGTGAAATAACGATAATCGTGTAACAAACAAGAGATAAACCGTGTTCGAGATGTAGAACTGCACTCTTTTAATAGCAAAGTCACCACACATACTTTCTCTCCCTATACCATAGTATATGGAGAAAGTATTGTTTTCAAACAATACCCTCAAACAATAAGGAGATAATTTACCTTGAGATCCTTTTCGATCTGTGTCTGCCATTGGGGATCCATGGTAACTTCTGGGGGTACGAGGGCGGGCATTGCAACAAACTCCAGGTTGGGGTCTCCAATCAGCTTTCTGGCCAACCACAGGAACGGCTTCTCAAAGTTGTAATTACTCTTGGCACTGATGTCGTAGTACTGAAAATAACCAACACTTAAATTATGTACAGAGTAACATTCAATGAGACATTAATTTTATGTAGTCCTCGTTTTATGTAGCAAAAGAATGTGGTCGAGTGATGCTGGTTTCATAATCCAATAAAAAAGCAAGAACATAACCATTATTCAAG